ATTACATTAATCATTCCTAAACTTCCAATTTTCGTATCGTTACTTTTAACGCCCTCAGTATGCTAACACTGAATCCTTTACAGTTTCAGAAACCTTACAAGTAAAAATAAGTTATATTCTTGAATCTTAAGCTTCATCTTTTCTTTCCTGTTATAGCTCAACTTACAGAAAGTTTGAGTTCAGAGATCAGCCAGGTTGAGCAGAAGACAAAAGTCATTAGCATGTTATGTCGAAGGATGAGATGTGGATACACCAGAATTAGTTGTTTATTTTGTTGGGCAAATCTCCAAGCCTTCTTGCAGCATTTAATTTTGTGAAAATGTCTAGGAAGATAAGAATGGTGTCAAGGAATTATAACTGGAGAAAAAAAAACAATCACAACCAGCGAGTTTGGATAGTCCAATTCAATTTAAAATAAATTTTAGAGTAAAATTATTTACTGCAGAAGATAATGGATGTATCCATAATAATATAATTTGCAAGTTAACTACTTTTAGTTGTGACTTACCGTTACTAGTTTATCAACATTGTATCTTGTCTTCTGTATAACGTCTTGAAATAGTTGTGTTCGTTGGTTGTTTTCAAAACGTCGTTCTTTGAACCCTTATAAACTATTAAGTAGTTCGTATAGACCTTATGGATATGCAAGTGGTGAGGACCTCGTACTAACATGAAAGAATATGCCACTAATATCAGGATTAATATTTCAATAAATAAAGGGAGTTAGAAAAAGAAAACATATGCACAAAACTACAAAATATCTAATAACAGACACTTCTCCACTATCTCTCGTGAGCAAACTTATTGAAGCTCATGACAGGGTTTATATTTAAGAGATTAAAGATGCATTTTAACATTATTTACACTCTTTACCAACATTATTATTTACAAGTCACAGATAGGGAAACTGATGTCAGTCTCATAACTCTTATAAACTTTAAATGACGTAATTAGCTAGAAGGTGAGTTAGCGTTTAAGTGTAAACTAAAATTTCACAGATTAACTAAACAATAGAAAGAATAATAAAGTGAACTGAAAACAAAACCACAAAGAAATAAAAATAAAGCTTGCTACCTCACGCTCCTTGCCCATTTCGAAAAAATGAAGTGATTACATTAATCACTCCTAAATTCCCAGTTTTCCTATCCTTAGTTTTAACGACCTCGTTATACTGACATCATGAATCCTGCCTAGTTTAAATACATATACCTTACAAAGAAAATTCGTTCATATTCTTCAATCTCCAACTTCTCTACCTTCCGGCTCAAGTTACGGGAAATCCTCGAGTTCAAAGACAAGCTAAGCTGCAATAATTAATTAAGTAGTTAGAACAGATTAATTTATGTGATCACTATATACATACTCTTTACCAACATTAATATCTGTACGTAACCGATATGGGGAAACTGATATCAGTCTGATAACTCGTAGAATATAAAAGCTAATGGGATTAGCTAGGAAGTGAGTTAGCGTTTAAGTGTAAAGTAAAAATTGACAGATAAACTAAACGATAGAAAGAATAAATTAACTGTAAACAAAACCATAACAAAACAAAGTAGTTTGCTACTTCACACTCCTTTCGAAAACCGAAGTGATTACATTAATCACTCCTAAATTCCCAATTTTCCTATCCTTACTTTTAACTGCCTCATTACACTGACATTATGAATCCTTTACAGTTTCAGTACAGATACCTTACAAAGAGAAATAATTCATGTTCTTGAATCTTCTTCTCTACTTTCCTGTTCTGGTTCACTTTACATGAAGTGCTCGAGTTCAGAGACCACTTACGTTAAAGTAGAGGACGTAGATGACTCATCGGTATGTTACGTCGAAGGATGAGAAGTGTACACACCAGAATAAGTCCTTTATTTTGATGGAGGGGGGGGTCGCAATCTCAAAGTCTTCTTGCGCCATTGAAATTTTCTGCAACGGCAGAGGACGATGAGCATTTCCTCTGGTGTCGACAGAATTTTCACTAGAGAAAATATTTATTTTAGACACGTAAAATTGTCATATAATTAACATGATATAATATATATAAAAATGGAGTAAGACAAGTAGTAACTTTGAATAGTCCATTCAGTATTAGAATAAAATTTACTACAGAATACAATTGATGTATTAGCGATAGTAGTGACTTACCTACTTTTGTCCGAAAGAGACTAATGGGAGTAAGCTTGTCGCTGTAGCTTCCAGTGTTTTTCAACGTTGGATATTGTCTTCTGTATAACATTTATAGATAGGTCTGTTCGTTCAACTACGGTTGCCGGTGATGTTAAGTATTTTGTTTTCAAAAAGTCCTTGTTTGACCCCTTGTAAACTATCAAATAGCTTGCATACAGTTTATGAATGAGCCCATGACCAGAACTTCCCACTAATACGAAAGAACAATATACCATTAATAACAGTTTAATATTTCTATAAACAAACAGGAAAATGAACGGAAGAAAAACATGTATAAAACTTAAAACATCGAATAACAACAAGAACACTATCACACGTGAGAAAAGTTATTGAAACTAATGACAAAGTCCTTATTCAAAACATTAAAAGTTCATATTAACATTTACACACTTTTGCAACATAAATATCTGCAAGTGACCGGTAATGGAAACTGGTGTCAGTCTCATAACTTTTAGAAACTTTAAATACCGCAACTGATTAGAATGCGAAGTAGCGTAAAACAAATGATACAGATTAATTAAACAATAGAAAGAATAATAAATGAACAGAAAAGAAAAACCATAACGAAATAAAAATAGGATTTGCTACCTCATATTCCTTCCTCTTTCGAAAAAGAAAGTGATTACATTAATCACTACTTATAAATTCCCAATTTTAGTATCCTTACTATTAATGACCTCATTATACTGACACCATGAATCCTGCCCAGTTTAAGTACATATACCTTACAAAGAAAAAGCGTAGTGTTCTCCGATCTTCAGCTTCTCTACCTTCTGCTCCTATTCAGGTTACGGGAAGTCCAAAGACCACCTAAACTGCTCTAATTAATTGGATGGGGAGATTTGAAATAGTGATCATTATTTATATACTTATTAAAGACATTAACATCTATAACTTATCGCTATGAAAACTGGTGTCGGTTTCATAATTCAAATTTATTGTGAATAACTAAAATGTAAATTACAAATTTACAGATTAACTAAATGATGATAGAATGAATTATAAATAATCAAATCCAAAACGAAATAAAATGAAACTTTCTATTTCACACTCCTTCCCTTTTAGAAAAAAAAATGATTTCATTAATCAGTTTAAAATTTGAAGTCCTTACTTTTAACGTTATACTGACATCCTTCACAGTTTAAGTAAAGATACAGTACAAGGAAAAAACATTTTCTTATTTATTCGACTTTATCTTTCGGTTCTAGTTTAGCTTAACGAAGTTCGATTTCTAAGACCGGTTAATCTGGAATAATTAAACAACAAATCATGTACATACTCTTTACCAATATTAATATCTGTACGTCACTGATATAGGAAACTGATGTCAGTCTCATAACTCATATAAGTTAAAAATTGGTGCGATTAGGTAGAAGGTGAGTTATCGTTTAAGAGTAAATAAAAATCCAGAGCTTAACTAAACGATAGAATGAATAATAAACGAACGGTAAAGGAATCCATAACAAAATAAAAATAGAATATGCTATCTCACACTCCTTCGCTTTAGACAAAGAAAATTATAATAATAAATCATTACTTTTAAATTCCCAATTTTAGTGTTCTTATTTTTAAGGCCCTCGTTATACTGACATTATGAATCCCCCCACAGTTAAGTACAGATACTAGGACAAAATTTTTTTTATGTTCTTAACTCTCCAGATTGATCTTATCTAGTTTCCTGCTCTGGTTCACCTTGCAGGGAGTGCTTGAGTTCGAAGATCATCTAGGTTGAGCAGATGACTCGTTAAGTCGAAGGATGAAATGTGGACACGTCAAAACAAGTTCTTTATTTTATTGGAGAAGGTGAGAGGCACTTTCCAAGCCCTCTGTCGTCACTTTCTGCAACAACATAGGACGATGAACATTCTCTGGTATAGAAATAATTTTATCGAGAAAATTCTCTTCTTCACTTTAGACAAGTAAAATTGTTCTACCATTAAAGTGATTTTTTAATATAAAAATGGAGTTAGAAAGAGTAAATTTAGACAGTCCATTGCATCTTAGAAAAAGTTTTAGAATAACACAATTTACTATAGAAGATAATGAATATATTCTTAATAACAGCAGTAGTAAGTTAAGTACTTTTAATTGTGTCCGAAAGATACTAACGGTTGTAAGCTTCTCGCTGTAGCTTTCGATGTATTTCAACTTTGGATATTGTCTTCTGCTTAACATCTCTAAATAGTTCTGTTCGTTCTTCTACGGTTGCAGGTGATGTTCGGTATTTTGTTAGTTGTTTCCAAGACGTTTCCTTTTTTTTTTTATTTTTTTTACCTT